GAAGATTAACTAAAGGATATCCATAACTGGCCCGAGGGAGGTAAATATGCAATATAGTATAGTCAGTGGAGGTACTGGAAAGGGTATTTATAAAGCCTAGTCCTCTGGACTTATAGGGACCAGGTTATTTGTAAGATGGCTTGAATGGATCCTCTAGAGATGGAGACTGGCAACTATTATCCTTTAGTAAGTATTATCCTTAGAAGCTATTTGGCTGAGAATTCCATAGCTATTATTAATAGGTCTTTCCCCCTAGGGGCCCGTAAACCCTATAGGGTTTTTTTTAGCAAAGGTCTAAGGAGAGTATTGAATGTTATCTTTCCTGGCCCTTCTCCAGAGGTTATAAATAGAATAGGGGTAATACAGAATGTTCAGGATCTTTTTCAAAGTTTACCGGCTCATTTATTGATAGGCTGGGTCTAGTTCCTTTATGGTATGAGTCTAAGTTTCAAATTACTAGATTGTAGTCTGATTACAGTAGCTTGCTATCAGGTAGTATTGGCTATCCGGCAATTTTTGATATTCTGAATGGCTCTTCTATTAGGCTTGCTCAGATTTGCACTCAATTATGTTCCTAGACTTCTTAGAACCCTAATATCCTAGGGCTTTTCACCAATCTTCTAAAATGGAACCGGCCCACCAGGATATACCCATTACTTATCTGACTTGGATTTCTTAGCCTTGATATCATGAGTTGTACACTTCAATCGAAATGTACTTCAGCCTTGATTGATAATGATTGATTATAAAGGGCCTAAATAGGGTAATTCCATAATTTGGTGTCCAGGATTAGCCATTGCCTAGGATAAGATAATAGTATTAGGCATAGGGTAAGCCACTAGAACCAATGAGGATTAGCTTGTAAGAATTTACCATGATTAGTACCGTGATGTCTAGCCGTACTCTTATCAAACGACTTAACTAGCGCACTTCTGCGAGCTACCAAGAGGTATGCAGGGATAAGATAGTGGAAGTATTTGTTATAAGGCAGATTACTTTATTAGAGACCTATAAATCCTTGATACCTCTAATCCCCCCCATGTATAGTATAAAGTATAGTCTAAGGAGATTTAGCCAAAGCTCTCCTCAAGGATCTTTGAAGATTGGTAACTCTTAATTGCTTATAGGTCATCTTCACTTTATTAAACCCTGTTATATTGCGGACTTTAGAATCGCTAAGGTCTAGGGTGTTTTATAAGACGTTGCCAGAGGCCTTAGATGGTAAATTACAAACCATCTATCTAGGAATCCCTAATTAGGATTAGCCAAAAGAGCGTATAGATATTGAAAAGGTACTGCTACACAGCATCAGGGCATCCTGATAGTAAGAAGACGATTAGTCTCATTGGACTTACCTTAGAGAGCTTATTAGGGCGTACATTTGATGGAAAGGACCCCCCCTGAGGGTGCCTGATCCTTTGAAAGAGAATTAGATGTCAGTGTCTCAATATCACTAGGAAGCTACAGAAGGGTTGAGTATGAGGTATACCCTTAAAAGGATGACCAGAATGAAGATAACTTATGGTAGCCCGTGTAGTAGCCATTACTGAGCATTCCTAGAATCTAGAGGCCCCTACCGATGCTTAGCTACCAGTTGATAAGCCTTTACTATTTATCTATAGCCTACTGTTAGCCAATAAAACCTGTAGGGCTAGGGTTTACACAAAGAAAGCTTTTATGATTCACTTTATTAACTTAATTCACTTTTCAATACAGCTGTTGAAGGGCCCCTCTGACTAGGGCCATTAGCTTTTTATAAAGGCTGACCTAGGGATTTCATTAACTTAGAAAGTAGTTTTAGTCTACTAGAGGGAAGTATACCTGGGTTGGATGTGTCTAAATGTGCCTTCTACCTGCTTAATGTAATGATTCTAGTTTAAATTAATACTTATAGGCTCTACGCATCCCTGGGATGTGCCTTGGGAAATACTTGTTCTTCAATGTGTGCCAGGGGATTGTGTATCTCTTTACCCTAGATCTGGTTCCTAATACTTGTGTCGCCCTAAGGGTAAAGTGGGTGCCTAAGGATTTATTTGACAATTGGATTTGTGTTGGTGGTCTCCATTGCCTTTTGTACTGGGATTGTTTTCCTGGGAGAACTGATGTTACATTGGATGGCCTGTGTTATATACCTTCCTAGAATGAGGTAGAATTCTTGGTTTGGAGGTTTGCTAAGAGTCTTCAATTGCCTAGGGCTCTGGTGTCCAACTGTTCTAGGTATCTATGTTCTAATAACTTGTCCTAATACAGGGCCGATTCGGGCCTGGAGGCCCTCATTGAAGTTTTCATTGACCTTCCTCCTGCCTGTACAACTCCTGTATGCTGCTCCTTGTCTATCCATGAAGGTGTCGATGTGGCCTGCCCTGTACCTCACCAGCTAGCCGTACATTTGAATGGGTTTCAAGAATACCAGGAGGTACCGTACGTTTCTTTGGAAGTGTGCCCTGGGTGTAGTTCTTTGTATCCTTGAAGTTGATAGATGTTGTGTGTCGATCTACTATCTATCCCAGTAATTTCTATTAATTGGTCGACATATGTACTATTCTATTTGTCCTAGTCTATCCTAGTAATTAATATTAATTGAATGTGGGTACCTGTATATCTAAATGGAGTCAAATAGATATTTCATTATTTTATTAAATTTTTTATAATAATAACATTATTTATTATGTCATCCGGTTCGACTCTGATTCGACTGGTTGAACCGTGAACCTCTCTTTCTTCTGGTTCATCATCCTATCCGATTTTCAGAACCTCGATATTTTTACCCGAAAAAAAAAATATTTCTCATATAAAAAAGACGACACGAGATTCCGTGCAGGAGCCCGCAATTCCGCAAGCGAAAACCTGAAAGCATTCCTTCCGCAGCTCATTAAAACAAAGCTTGTCCTCTTGCGGTCTGCAGCGGCCCCACCGCCCCAATGCAGTCAATGTCGATGTTGACATTTCATTCTATCGTCTTTCTCTCTCAAGCTTTTTCTTTCATGATAATTTTTAAATTGCATTAATTATACAAAATTATTATATTACATGCATGCATGCATGTATGTGAACGGATCAACCCATCATAAACCATGAAACCACCATGAGGGATGACCACCATCTGCCATAGCAGCCAGGGTCTATATCACTAAGCTTATAGCTTAGATTGGTCCTACATATGTGTCCTTTCTAAGGTGGTTGGTTGGATATATTAGAGTTTTTATTTCTTCCTCTTCAAATATGTAAATTTGGGGTTATAATATACTGTTTCAGATGAAAAAAGTTATTTCTACATGATCAGAAAGTTTTTCAGATGGGCAGGAGGTATAAATGAGTTGACTTGAGCTCGAGTCAGGCCTAGGCTCAAACCTCTAAGCTTCTAATAAATTACTATTTCATAGAGACGGTGACATAGAAGAGGATAAACAATTCGATACAAAAAATAATGAACAATATTCTTTAATATCATTAAGTCACATACTTTATAATTTCTAGTTTGATATTCTCAGAAGAAATCCTTAATGATAAGTATATGAAATGATTTTTTGAATTGTTAAGTGGAATATTGATTATTATAGTCATTTCATGAAATTTGGAAGCAATAGATGTTTAGAACAGACAAATGAGGGATAAGTACCACATAATATTTAAATTTTTTTATTACCTAATTATATTGAATAGATATTTATTAATATATTCTTGATATTAAATTATATTTGTAGTAAATATTAAATTCATGATCTTCCAACAAATTGAGTTTATTTATGTGCCCCCTTTCTGAAAAATTCTTCACTCCATCTCCCATTGAAGAAGCAAATTAAAGCTAATTATTCATTCAATGTTTCTTATATTATTTCTCTTTTCTTAAGGATAAAATCCTATCTATCATATACATATATCATTAAATGATTCAAGGCAGTTATTACATTTTAAGAAGAATAAAAAAGAAGATAAATTTAATACAAGAGCCACATAAAAATGCATCCCTAATATTAATTTGCTTTTGCTTCTTGCATTATTCCTATTAGTAACGTCATTGTTACTGAGGCTACGACTCTTTTGTTGAGTCTCCGTCAAAATTTGTATGGATCATAATATTCATAATATTTGGATTAAATCAGATTCTTTGATGTTGGTTAACTTAGTGTTAGCTAACAATTTCATCAATGATAATCTCTTTTATTTACTCAAGAAAATCAAGTCTCTTCTTCTTCTATTTGTTTATGATATGTTTCATATTTGGCGTGAGGTGAATATAAGTGCTAATTGGCTTGCTAAAAAAGGAATTGGTAGTTCTACTACTGAATTTTTCTATAATGTTTATTTGGATTTTGCTGTGCTGTTTTTGTTGCTTGAGAGGTGTAGTTTTCATCTTATTTTTGATCGATTCTCTTCGTTATTGGTGCTACTTAGTGCTTTGTGGTGTTCTTCTAGTGCAGTTCTAGCTTTTGTTGCTTCAGTTGGGCTGCTTTGATTCCAAGATATCCTTTATTTGCATTTACTATTTTTTGCTTTGAGCCTGTTGCTTGTGGTTTCTTCTATTTTGCAGGCACTGATTTTTGCAGGGATCTTCACATTCTGTACATGCTATCTTATTTGATAAAGATTTTTTATTTTTTTGGATGAAGGCTCCTTGCCTTTCATAGATGTTTATTTTTCTAGATATCTGATGCTTGTAATTAGATGGGATCTTAGGCTCATAAGATTATTTATTTATTTTTTTATGGATTGTAGCTCTTTGGAGCACTAGTGAGCTTTTAATCCCTTTTAAGGATTTTTAATTCTATTTTATATTAACGTGTATGCCCGATATTGCATTTTAAAGATGCAGCCACATTTTTAAATGTTCTACCTAAATTTTAATAATTTGTAATATTTTATTTTAAAAGAGTGCACTAACCTAACTTTGAGAAAAATGCTGACATTTAAAAATGCTGACATTTTTCTCAAATTTAAACTCACATATTTGTTCATATAATGACTACAACTAATATTTTAGGTACATTTAAAAATGCATTAAACAAATTAACCAAATTAATTATACTATGAAACACATTACAATCTTTATTAAGAGCATCATAATCATTTTCAAACACATTGATTTCTGCTTCATAAAATTCAATTTAAAGTAGCTAAGAAGGAGATTTATTTTAACATCAACTCAAATAATCCATGATTGATCAGTAGTAACCTTGAGAATTCTGAACTCCGTGAGCAGGAATGGCATCATCAATCTTCACCTGACTGTTTCCATCATGGTTAAGACCGAAATGGATATTTGGAAAATGTGCCCACTGCAATCAAAATGATCACAATAAATCACTTCTATAGTTATTATACTAATTAGATAATAATCCTGATCACTAAAATTTTGTTTGGGACGGCTTTCTTACTGCTTCATAAAGCAACTTTCTCGTACAAAAGTTTGCTTTAAGAAGCAGTAAGAAAGCCGCCCCAAATTAACGAAGCCTAAATCCATTTGGATGTGAAGGTTGTTGATTGCACTCTACGCAATCACTAGGCGAATGTAGGATCATATGAAAGAATGTATATATTTTTTTTAAATAAAATATATTTAATTAATTAAAATAAAATTACAAGCCAACAGAGATCCCCCTCAAAAAGATCTAAACAATTATAGATTCTTGCTATAAATGAGAAATAAAGTCAAAAATCATCACTAGAAAACTCAAGAAGTACAGAAAAACTCAAGAATCCATTGATGAAAGAAAGCAGCCATCAGCAATTAATCCCAACTGATACAACATATAGGCAAAAAATATTGAAGGTCTTACAACAGCAAAATGCCAGCTGAAGTAATGAAGAGGAAGACAAAAAACCCAAATATTAATGATGCAGTTCTAATAATAAAAAACGTAAACTAATAGTTAAAACATCGCATAATCTCTTCATATGCCATTTTAATATCCATCACAATTAACATTATTTTAGTTGAATAAATCATGAGACATGAACCTCACAAATTTTTAACTTAGGCTTCGTTTGAGACAACTTTTTTATTATTTTTTAAAGCAATTTTTTAGTTCAAATAATTTTTAATAAAAGTTATTTTAAAAAATAAAAAAAAACCCTCCCAGACATAGCCTCAGTTTAATTGGTGATATCATTAATATAAAGAATGCAATCGTTTTTTCATTGACAACTCTCACAAAGTTCTAACTTACTTAATTTTCTCAAATGTTGATGAAGTTTAAAATAGTCTTTTGATGGATAACCATGAATACAACAATCTGATAAAAGGAGAAAACTTTACAAAATTTTTCTTTTTGAAATATGCTGCCATTTTATGAAATCAACTAGACTTCTTTTCGCATAGCTAGAATAAATCCTCTATTCCGTTAAGAGTACTAACTCTAAAAGTTTCATAAATTGAGGTAGTGTTTGAATCAAGTTTCATAGCCAAGCAATTAAGTGTTATGTGAATTATAAATTAAACATATAAACGAGGAATATAAATTTAGATGGATATGATGAGAGATTCTTCTTGAATGTTTGATAAAATGACGATTAGCATCTAATATGAAGATCTTCCAAACCAAAATTTGCCCTAAAAAAGGGTAAAAAGCATGACCGATCGAAGCACTAATTTCAATGTATGAATAGATAATATTATTTTTAATTTTGAGAATGGACAACAATTTGATTACAAATGTTGGAGAATTCATAAAAGAGTTACAAAGAATCGTATGTTAGGTGAAGGATCACAACTAGGATGAAATTTATCTTTATATAAGAACACATTGATGGGAATCTAGATCATGAGGCTTGAGAGAGAAGAAGATACTGATGGAGCTCCAACATGGTAAGGGGACTTGCAAATAAGAAAAGGAGATAAACCCTTATGGTAACCCAATTATATTGAGCGAGAACCAACAATTCATAAGGGCGGAAAGAGGGGACACCAATAAGATGCATCAATTTCAAAGGAAGTACAACTACATATAAATGAATGCTAGGGGAATCGAATCCCAAGTGGGAAGATCTAATTAAGGTTTTTACTATCATCCATACTTATAACTTCTCTTATACCCACATTTGTCACCAAAGCTACTCCTTATTCTTGATTTAGGGAGAAAATGCTGACCACGACATCATTCACTTATTGGATGACTCTAATTATTAGTTTCAATAGGAGCTAAAACATAAGATGTAAGAGCTGGTCTTAAATCACTACCCTCTCCTTTTAATTTATAAAATTTAGAGTTAGTATATAGATATATAATATTAAAGTTTAGTTTGTGTGTTCATTAATATATATGATGTCAAGATGCGATGTGCTTTTGAATTTTATTATAGGCAAGGTATGTCGCTTTCCCCTATGGGAAATTTAATTAGTTACCCATGAATTATATATTTATTTGTGAATAAAGAATGTGTTTCTTTTTATCCCATAATTTTAATTATATTATGGATTATGAAGTTATCATTTTCATTCTCTACCAATCCATTTCCTACTTGTCTAGGCTTGGTCTCTACTTTTATTCCACCATGACTAGGACCCACTCCTAGAATGTCTTTCAACTACATGATTGCACACCACCACCTTCTAACCCATATCATTATCATATTAGAGCCAAATAAAAAGACCAATCTCATTGGGCATTATAATAGCTTTGTGGTCTCCTTCTCTCTCAGAATAATTATTTCTTATTTTAATTTTGACTCATCATTGGATTTTTTTTATCTTTAGTTATAATTTTTTTTTATCTCCTCTTGAAGTAGTTAAGGACTTGATAGTTTCTTGTGTTAATTGGTCTGAAAATTTAACTAACATTTTTTAAATTATTTTCTTTGGTGGCTTCTTTTTTTTCGTGAGGGGGGTGGGGAGTTGTATTTTGTACCATCGAAATAAAAGGTTATACAATCCTTAAAAGGGATCGAAAGCTTGACGAATGCTCAAAGAGCTACAGTAAATAAAAATAAAAAAATAAAAACAAAAACTTAAAAGTGCCTAAGATCCCTTACTAGCTACAAAAAGAAATTAAAGGCGGTCGACAATGAGGCATAACCCGAAAAAGATCCAATAAGATCAGCATTATGTTATTACTCCTTTCTTTGGTGATCTAGACAAACCCTATTTGAAAGGTTATGAGATTAAAATTATTTTTTTTTCTTTTGATTGAAAATAAGTATCCACCCCATTTTAGATTTTTTTTAGTTACAATCTACTTTTCTAGATAATTATTTTTCTTTTAATAAAATAAATCATGATTCTTTGGTGATCACTAAATTATTTAATTATCTATGAACAACATCAATCCACCATCAAATTTTTTATTCTCATGGAAAATTTTTTTGAAGAAGGGGAGAGCTCATATGGAATAAGGTTGCATGTTTCAAGGAATCCTACTATGAAGATAAGGACTAATAGCTTTCCTTATTCCAAGTGCTTAAGATAAGGTTTAAAATTACTTTTAGTAGGTTGGATTATGATCAAGAAATAATATAGTTATCTTCTTTTAAGTAGGGTTGGATTAATAAGTAGTTAATCTATAGTTATCTTCTTTAAAATTACTTTTAGTAGGTTGGATTAATAAGTAGTTAATTGCCCTACATTCTATCCCTTCCAACTCTATCTTTCTCCCCCTTATCACTCATTGCCCTCTTTTTATAAAAACCAAGTAAAAGAGGAGCTTCACCATCCATCATATTTCTAAAGTATGTTCTTTGTTTGCTATAGATTCTAAATCTCTTGTATAAAATTTCATGCACTTCTAATTTTTATTTTATATGACATTTATACACTTTATCATCTATTCTCTTAGATGTCTTAACACCTTAGAGATCTCATTATACTAATCATGATGGATTATCTTCCTTACGAACAATCCTAAATGCCTCGCATCGTAATATTAATCATGAATCTATAGTTATTCCATTATTTATTAAATCATTATTGTATTTGAGGTTGAAATATTTTGCATTTTGTTGAGAGTTCTATATTTGTTCTATACTCTATTACAATGTGCCTCCCTATTTAGATCTTATTTTCTTCAAAATTATGTTATAATATAATCATTGATGATAGCTATGATTATTATATGAAGCATCATCTCAAAAACTTTAAAGTAGAAATTAATCTTGATGGTGTTACTTGTATCCTTGACCTATTTAATTCTTATCAATATATTTGGGCCATTGAGTCATTCCTCCATATTCTTAGTTAGATTGAAGTCTATATATACCATCCATCATCAGATCATTCTATCATAAGAACACATCACTAACCTTAATAATTTTTCTCTTGAAGGTTATTACATCTAATATATCTTGTGACACTCTATCTCATATAAGGCAAGAGATTCTAGTAAGTTTAACTCAAATCTCTCACGTGTAAACTATCACATGATTTACAAAACTACATTTGATGTAGTAAGGCAAATAATTTCTATTTTGCAAAGATTTCTTAAGTTACAAAATTTTTCTTACAATTGGTCACATAAGATCCACTAAATAATTTTATTTTAATATTCAAGTATCTTGATATAAATATCCATGACTACCCTATTGATCACTATCCAAGACCATTTACTTGCATGGATTTCCTTTTTTGAGGGTGGCTCTTTGCCTACCTTTAGTTTCTTCCTGTTTATCTTGTATCTTAGTAGGGATTATTGGCTCCTTAGTTTTCTTTTTTGCTTTTTTGTGTAGCTCTTTGAGCACTAGTAAGCATTTGATTTCCTTAAGGACTTCTAATAATTTTATTAAATTAACATGAAAGCCCATTGTGAGTTTTATATTGTAAATTTTGCTAGAAATGCATTTATTTGCTTGTTTTATAAGCTCAACAAATCTATATATATAGTGCTTTTGCATTATTAACATCTTATTTATTTGAAAGTTTTACTCTCAATCTCTACTATGATACCAAATAGAAAAAAAAAAAGTGTAAGGTTTATGTTTGATGCATGAAAAAAAATCGACAAATATTAGCTAGCTTAAATTTGACTTGGAAAAATAAAATGCTTTAAGAAAATTAAAATTAGGACAATAAGTAGTTAATTGCCCTACATTCTTCATAAAAAAGGGGATAATAAATACAAACAATTCATCCATATTTAGCTTGCAGAATATCTTATTAGAGAACAAATTTTAGTTGCTAAGTTAGGTTAGTAATTATGGTCACTGTTGAAGTGCAGCATGTATGCCTCAAGCAAAAGTTTCATATAAATATATAACACTTACATTCTTTGCGGCAGCACTGAAGGCTTCTCTATGACTTATATCTGGATTTGTTGCCTTTAGCCTACGTATCTCCTCCCTTTTACAAATGCAAGAAAATATGATTTCTTAATAAGGTAAAAAGAGTGTGGCATTTGCAATCTATATCTACCTTTCAGCTGGAGAAAATTGAAGTTATATATGTTGTAACTCACTTGATAAATCTGTTATATGCAGAAGGAACACGCTGTCTCTTCTCCTGTGCTGTTTATTTAGAACATAAGAATAAAGATCAAAGAAGTGGTTGATAAGAATTAAAAAAATTTCTATCCACTACAAAATTTAATTCAACTTTCGTTTAATTCCTTACGTGACTTGGGCATATTTATGATAATAAAAATGATTAAAAAATGTCCTCACTAGCTTAGAATTCAAGGCGAAGACCTTGAAAGTTCTTAGAAATTATCACTAATCAACTTTTGATCAAATGCCATGCTGAAGAACTTTAAGGCCCGTAATATTGCAAGAACATAAATCAGTTATAGAAGTGGCTATTAATACACGTTAAGGTGAAATAGAGCAGAATTTATCTTATTAGCATTACATTTTAGCTCTAATATTGGCATGGAACATTGCAGATGGAATTGAATAAATAATTAAGGGGTTTCATTTTAGACGGCTTTCTTACTGCTTCTTAAAGCATCTTTCTAGTTTAAGAAGCAGTAAGAAAGCCGTCCCAAACGAAGCCTAAGACATATAGAATAACTGTGTCGACAATAATGCCTTTTGTAAGTAGAACTTCAATTTACACTTTAGTGTTAGAATATATAATTTTTTTAAGTAAATCATATAATATTCATTGATATTCATAAGTTTAAGACACATACAAAGCATACCCAATTTAAAAACAAGGAAATTAAAATAATTTTCCACTATCAAGTGAAATAAATTAACCAAAATAACAAGCACCAACAGTTGCTCAAGAGGTGAAAAATCCTTATGCAACATTCTAATAAGGTGGCCAGAATGAAAAAAAAAAAGTAGATAGTTTGGATAACAAAAAACCAGAAAACTGATCAACTCAAAATGCTCAAGTAAATGATAGGTTATGTATACAAATCTTGAATCACAATCATAGAATAGTCATTATTGTTGTCCTCTCTTCTGCTTAATGGTGTAATCACCTTTAATGCTTAACTGTTTCATCTCAAGCCTTAGTTATACTTTATGTATTGTTATTTTATGCATTTATATATTGTACTTTGTTAAAAGAAAAAGTAGAGAAGGTAATACAATTTTAGTCCTCTTTTACTCTCTCAGTTTTCCTTCTACCGAATGCAGTAAATCCTAAATTTCTACAAGGTATTAGAGAGCGGGTTGGTAAAAACTGTATATTCTCTTTATAAATTTTTTCGTAAGCTTTCTTTTTCGATATGGCTCAGTCTTCTTCTTCTGCTACGTACTTAATTCAATATCTTTTCCACTTTGTTTCCCATCAAGACTTGTAATTTTCCCTTATATCAACGCGTTGGCCCCTCTGTGGGTTTTAACTAAAAAAAAAAAGAGGAGATGTTACCATTCCTCAGTTAGTTTCTTATGACAAATGTTAAATTAGTTATCAAAATTCAACTCTCTGCTGAAAATTATCCAATGCGGAGCTCTCAGATTTTAAAATTGTTTACTGCCAACATATTTAATTTGATGGGTTTCTATGGATGGTTCAATGCCAAAGCCACCTAAGCAGCTTCTTACCGATAATGACAAAGTTCTTCCAAATCCTCATTTTCCTACTTGGATTTTAATTGATCTAAACCTTTTTACGGTCCTCTATTCAACAATTTCCCTAACCTTTCTTTTATATCTTCTTAATCTGGACACATGTACGGACATTTGGCACATTGTTAGAAAATGTCTTCAATCAACCAACCGTTCATGCATTCTTCAACTTAAAAATGAGTTACATCACCTCTCAATGCTGGATAAATTCATGATGCAGCTCTTGTCTGAAATTAATTAAAAGCAAGGTTGATGCTATTGGCTCCTCTAGAATCCCTTCACCTGCTGAAGAAATTATCCTATACACATTAAATGGCCTTTCTAGTTCTTATCATCAAGCATTCAAAATGGCAATTCACACTAATCCTCAACCATTTAGTGTTGATGATATTTTTACATTGCTTTGTAGTGAAAATTTAACTTAGTAGTTGAGCTTGCTCGTGATGTTCTTGTGCCCACTCATTCCAATTAACCTACATCTTGCTTATTTCACTGTTCGTGGTGGTAGTCATGGTCGTCCCTTGAGAGGTTGTTTTTCTTACTCAAGTCCTACTTGTGGAATGCCATTTCCATCACACATCTCATGCAATGTTTCTACTCCGATTGACTATCAAATTTATGGGAAGTTTGGTCACACTACTCTCAAGTGCTAGCATCGAGGTGATTTTAGCTTTCTTCCCAAGCCTTATTTATCGAGACTGCTAATTCTGGAGATTGGATACTTGATTATGGGTCAACATCTTATCTTACTTCAAAACCTAGTCAAATGATCAACCCCAAACCATATAATGGTACACAATAAGTGCTGGTAGGCAATGGTGAGCTTCTTCCAATCACTCACACTGGACAGGGGCTATTACCAACACCTTCCCATAAGCTTTGTTTAAAATCTCTTCATCTTATTCCCCAATTATCTCATACATTCTCTCACAATTAATCATTCATCTCCTTTCCAGCTGATATACAAATAGATTTCTTCTTACACGCGTCTTAAGATTTTTGTTTGTTTATGTTTTCCCTTCCTACATGCTTATCCAAAGCATAAATTTCAATGAAAATCTCTTCCTTTTTCTTTTGTTGGATATGTTCCACACACAAAAGGTTACAAATAATGCTTTCACATTGAAAGTGGTAATTAAGACCTTTGTCTCTTGGCATGTGTATTTTGTTGAGACAATTTTCCATTTTTCACAAACTTATTTATAATAGAATACTCCTAAAGTTCCACCATATATTCCACCCTCTTTATTTATCCTAATTACGTCTCTTTCCAAATCATCTACCTTCTCTCTATCTATTATTCCAATCTCAACTACTCTTCCTCCTTCCAGTCAACATACTCAAACTCCACCTTTTCCTATATTTCCATCACCTAACTACTATTGGTTTTGTTTTATCTCAAAAACGCCCTCTGTCGTCTCACTGTATTCCTTCCTATCTCCTGATTCACCCATTATGCATCCAGGACATCCAATGTTTACTCAATCCAAAACCTGGGATCTTAAACCAAAACATATTTAAGCAAGCTTCATTCTAGTCTTCCAGCCGACCCAACCTGTTTTACTCAAGCTGTCAAGAGTGAATCATAAAGAAATGCTATGTTAGCTAAATTTGAGGCTCTTCAAGCTCAAGAAACTTGTAAATTGGCCCCTCATGACTCCGCACAGAACATCTTAGGATCCAAATGAATTTTAAAAATTAAAATTCATTAGGATGACACTATTGTAAGACACAAAGCTATCAAGAGTATGTCTTGGTCAATCTTGAAACATTTAGTCCAGTAGCTAAATTTCCCGCCATCCACATTCTTCTTACAATTGTTGTTTTCGTCATTGGAAAATTTTATAATTTGATGTGTCCAATGCTTTGCTTCATGGAAAGCTAAGTGATATAGTTTAGGTGGCTCAACCCCCCAGTTTTCAAGATCCTTTTTTTCCTGATCATGTTTGTTTGCTTCAAAAGTCCATTATGACTTAAAGCAATCTCCTCGTCAATGGTTTGAGACTTTTTTTACATACTTGATGAAATCTAGTTTTCAACACAATAGAGCTGGTCCTTCTCTTCTTTTTTACATGAAAGGCTCTTTTATCATATATATATTTTTGTTTATGTAGATGGAATTCCTCTTATTAGCAACAATGAACTTCAGTTGTAAAATCTTACTTTCATTTTGTCCAACAATTTTCATATGAAGAACCTTAGTTCTATATATACATTTTTGGGAGTGCAAGTTTCTTCTATGGCTATAAGTTTGCACTTGTCTTAATCTAGTTATGCGGCAGATTTGCTTCATGGAGTTGGCATGTCAGAATGCAAGCTTATTTTCTCTCCCATACCTTCCAAAATTATCTCTAGATAGTTCTCCTACTTTACTACCAATAGAAGCTGAATGTTTCAAACACATTATGTGATCCTTATAATATTTGACTATCACAAGGCCAAACATTGCTTAAACTTTAAATAAATTATGCTAGCATATGCATCAACCACTAGAAGGAGATTATAAACTGTTAAAATATCTATTGAGATACAATAAATGTACTTTGCTAGCTATTTGGATTGCAGATACTACATGGTGATCTTACTTTATCTTCCTATACTAGCTCTGATTGGGTTGGAGATATTATTGATCATAAGTCTATGACGAGGTTTTGGAGGCAGATCCAAGGATATATTGCTTCAACAATTGGAGATCGAAGCTAGTGCTAGCCCGATCATACTCATTTGATTCTTACCATCACTATATAGAAATGGCGCTCTTAGATAGTTCCTTCGTGCACCGATTCCATGTTGATTGAAGCTAATTCACATCTGAATCCTTGTGGTGCTAAATTGATCCGTAATGTTCCTCCTGTCGATCATGCATTGATGACTTCTTCCAGTGTTGAAGTTCCTATGGCCATTGTAAGTAGGCTGAATGACATGCTTTGCTAAGGTGCTCTTAATTCCGTGGTTCATGGTACAATTGATGGGGTTATTTTTATTGGAATGTTGAAGTTGAGTACTATCATGAAGTTAGATGTTGATTCTAAGTTTAGAGAAGGTATGTTAATCCAGTATATACAGCCAATAATGATACTCCTAATTCAACAAGCTCCACTTCTGATGTTTGTACACATGCCCCTTTTAATGCTACTTGAAGGAATGATTTATTTGTTTATTTTCAACTATCATTCAAGTAGCATAATGCTGCCAATCCTTCTCCAAAACTTCCCATTACATGGAACAGATCAGAAGTATTCAAGATTGATTATGTTTGCAAGTCAGGTGTTATGTCAAAATATGGTAGTTTAGTGACTTTGAACATGAATTCTATTCATGCCAACTTAGCTAGACTTAAAAGAGAGTTTATTGGCAAGTTTTTTTGGGATGTGGTTGCCTTATTTTTTGTTTAGCAATAAGTTACAACTAAAATGATCAGTTTTAAGAGATTTTAAGTCCTCACCATCTCTCTGAATTATTTCATTTTCCTCTTTGATAGTGTTGAT